CCCCCCCCCCCCCCCCCCCCCCCCCGGGCCCTGACTGGCGGCCCCACCCTACTCCTGACCACTGCCGATTAGGGCAGGGGGCAACATGCATCCCCTTCATTGTGAGGGGTAGCTATGATTGCAGGGGTCCTCTGTGTAGGCTTAGGACTAGTGGTAAATTGAGAGAAGAATATAGTTTAGTTCTGATTATAAAAAAAAAACACTGCGCTGGCGTTTCAGCAAAACTTGACGTGCAGTGGGAACAGCAGAAGATCATGCAATAGGGTTTTGAAAATGGGGTTAGCTTTGCCATCTCTGTCCCGCATCCATATCCACCGAAAAAGGAAAGCAAAGCGTACCGGCTTTCCCAAATGGTGCCATCTTCGCCAATGTGCCACCGAGCCCTGGCCCTAATCGCGGTCAGATCCATTCAGGGAAGAGCTGACGTGAGATCCCCCTAACTGAAAGGGCCTGACAGGGAATGGATTGCTCCCCGCCTCTCACGGGAAGTCTCATCAGAAACAGCCACTATTCTTCGTTCCTAAAAAAAAAAAAAAAAAAAAAAAAAAAAAAAAAAGGGCATACCCATCTGGGAACGTGATTGCCTCACAGATTCACCCACCCGGCCAGAACTACAGTCAGATACATTCAGGAATGTGCTAGCATGAGAATGCCCTGAAATGGAAAGGGCCTCACGGGAAGACTCATCAGAGACAGCCAAGATTCTTGTTCCTCAAACAAGAAGGGGAAAAAAAAAATGAAAAGAAAGGGCACACCTACTCCTAACGTGATTGCCTCACAGATTCACCCCGCTGGTCAGAAGAGCAGTCAGATACATTCCATAATGTCATAGGCTCATAGCCTGATAATGCCCTAAAATGGAAGATCCTGACAGAGAATCCATTGCTCCCCGCCCCTCACAGGGAGCCTTATCAGCAACAGCCACGATTCTTTGTTCCTCAAACAAAAATCCCACTAGCGCGGAAACCTGTAGGACAATATGCAGGACATTTGCAAATTTTCGTTGGGGCCACGAGCTTTGTCCCGGTTGCACTACCGAGGCTCCCCCGAGCCACGAAAACTTCCGGAGAGGCTCATTTCGGATTCTCAATTTGCCTGGGGCCATGTACTGGTGGTTTAAGTTGTGACCATTGCACCTCTCCACGGACACATCCATGACTAAGCATAGACCACACATAACCACCCTTAAACCACACATAAACCTAAAGTACACCACACATTGAGCACACAGTGACCATACATAGAACAGACATATATAAAACATAGACCAGACATATACAAAACATAGACCAGACATCCATGACCAGACGTAGAAAACACATAAAGCACACGTAAACCACACACCGACCACGCACCAACCATACATAGACCACACATAGACCAGACATGCAAGCCGGAAAGCTTTATAAATTTCCAAACTGTACAAGCACAAGGTGGTAGAAGAATCTTCCCCTCCCCTATACAGGCATTCGGCCCTGCCACACCTACATGGCATTCGGCCCGGCCACAACTGCATAGTCTATAGCGGGAGGCATTCGCAGAAGCCCTACACTAACCACTCCTCCGAACGCCCAGAATCAACTGTGAGACTAGACCGCTCCAAGCCGATCATAATCATAGCACGGGCACACTTCAAGACCACGCTTAAACTGTGGTACTGGTTTGCTGGTGATAGTTGGCAATCGCTTTTGGTCGCACATCCTCAAGCTATCTGATAGTCATGGTCACTAAATCTGCAATGGGCAGAAGGTACTTCCCTCATTTCTCGCTTCCTGTCTGTCTGTCCCTTCCTCCTTTCTAACGACAACAAAACCATATTTAGAATCTGCACAACTTTACCGCTCCCCCTCTTGGCCCCTCCTGAAGACCCCTGGATCCCCCTCTCAAGTCCTCCCTTCGCCTTCCTCCTCTGCCCTATTCAGGTGAACTGAGGGTGGCTTGGGAGTTGGGACATATCATCTATTCAGTTCTAAGACTGATATGCACTCTATATGTACAGTGTGTGGGAACATGTCAACAGGTTGCACGCTTGCTAAGCGGTACATACCATCCTTGCCTGACCCTTCCTGTGGACACCACGCCAGCCCAAGAAGAAACCCACAGGCAGGAAACAAGACAAAGAAGCAAAGACATCAGATAAGCGGCCAAAACAAAAGCTTTTCAAACGAACCAAACGAACCAAACGAACCAAGCAAACAAACAAACAAAAAATAGAAGAACATGAGAGAACCTCCCCATCTTTTCCTATCCAGGGAAACTGTGAGAAGGATTGCAAATCACAAGTGCATCATTGTTCACATCGATGAGCATTGACTCAAATATCCTTCTGCCTCCGGTCATGTCCCATGTGGCACATCGACATGCATTTTGTTGTGTTGCTTGTCCGAATCATCATCCACCCTACTACTCATCCTCCTTCCTGCTCCACCTTCCTCCTACCTCCTCTTCATTCCTCTCTCCTCCTGTCGCGTGCCACGTGGCACACCAGCACGCGGTTGTCTTTTCATCTTGTCGTGTCCTCGTCATCCTCCTCCCTCTTTCTCAGCTTGTCCTGTCCTCGTTCTCCTCCTCCCTCCTCCTTCATCCTCCTTTTGCCTCCCGTCATGTGCCATGTGGCACATTGACACCCGTTTTGTTTTGTGTTGCTTGTCCGGATCATCATCCTCCATACTACTCATCCTCCTTTCTGCTCCACCGCCTCGTTCCTCCTGCTCCACCTTCCTCCTGCCTCCTCTTCACTCCTCTCCTCCTGTCGCATGCCACGTGGCACACCAGCACGCGGTTGTCTTTTCATCTTGTCTTGTCCTCGTCATCCTCCTCCCTATTTCTCAGCTTCTTCCTGTTCCCTCTCCTACCTCATCCCTCCTACGCCTTCCTCGTGTGTCGTGCCATGTGGCACAGCGGCACATGATATTTTTTCATTTTTTTCTCGTCATCCCCATCCACCCCTGACCTCCTCCTTCCTCCTCTCCCCTCGCCCTCATTCCCTCCTCCTCCTGCCTCCTTCCTGCTTTTGCCTCCTGTCATGTGGCACATGGCACAACAGAGCATGTTATTGTTCTCGTCCTCTTCATCATCCTCCCTCCTACTCATCCTCCTCCTTCCTCCTCGTCTCCACTCCTGTGCTGCACCTGTGAACTGTTGAAATGCAGGCATGAGCTCGAACACAGATAGGAGTAAATGAATGCGATTCTGAATTATGTGGGGCCGGTCAGTTCGCCAATGATATCTCGAGGCTATCGCCCTTTACAAAAAATAAAAGAAGGAATACAAACCCAAGTTCGAATCCAGATTACCAAAAAAGGAAAAAAAGGAACACACCAAACGCATGATTCGCCTCCCTCCCTCGGTCCTCCCTCCTCCTCTCTCTATCGTTCTCTCTCTCCTCCCTCCCCACGCGATCTTTTGTTTTCATCTTGTGATTTTTGTCGTCCTCCCCCTCCTGCCCCTCCACCCTCCTCCTCCTTCCTCCTCCTTCCTCCTCCCTCCTCCCTCCTCCTCCTTCCTCCTCGCTCCTCCCTCCTCCTCCTTCCTCCTCCCTTCTCCTCCCTCCTGTTGTGGCACACCATTTTTTCTTCTCGTCCCCATCATCCACCTCCCTCCTCCTCTTTCCTCCTCGTCTCCCCTGGTGTCCTCCCTCCTCCTCTTGTCCTCCTCACCCCTCCCTCCTTTCGCCTCCTGTAATGTGCCACGTGGCACATCCGCATGAGCTTTTTTTTTGTGATTGTTCTCGTCCTCATCATCCTCCTCCTGTCGTGGCACCCCATTTTCTCTTCTCGTCCCCATCATCCACCTCCCTCCTCCTCCTCTTCCCTCCTCGTCTCCCCTCGTGTTCCCCCCTCCTTTCTCCTCCTTCCTCCTTCTCGTCCTCCTCGCACCTCCCTCCTTTCGCCTCCCGTAATGTGCCACGTGGCACATTACCATGTGTTTTTTTTTCTGTGGTTGTTCTCGTCCTCATCATCATCCTCCCTCCTTATCCTCCTCCTTCCTTCTCCACTCCTCCTCCCTCCTCCCTCCACCATCCTCCTCCACCTTCCTCCTCCCTCCCCCTTCAACCTATCTCCTGCCGTCATGTGCCATCTGGCACACCGGCAGATGATGCCCAAGAAGTGGAATTGCACATTGGATGTCAGAACCAACGTGAAACGGAAAAAAAGACGCAGCTATGAGAATTAAATAGGATAAAGAGAGATAAAAAATAAGCGTGCACAGATAAAGCCCTCCTGCATTTTTCTCTTGTACAAACTGACATAGAGTATACACGAACAGCTGCATAATCTCTCTCTCTCTCTCTCTCTCTCTCTCTCTCTCTCTCTCTCTCTCTCTCTCTCTCTCTCTCNCTCTCTCTCTCTCTCTCTCTCTCTCTCTCTCTCTCTCTCTCTCTCTCTCTCTCTCTCTCTCTCTCTCTCTCTCTCTCTCTCTCTTTCTCTCTCCATATCCATATCCAGAGCGCGCCCGAGTGCTGCACACTACACGGCTCGCCGTCTTCATGACGATCCCATGTTCCAACTCCCCTCGACACTCCCTCCAGCTTCGATCTGCAGCCCCCTCATCTTCCCCCTTGCATCAGAACCGCCGTGCATTTTTTTTTCATCTCGTGTTTCTTGTCCTCTCTCTCTCTCTCCATCTCCATATCCAGAGCGCGCCAGAGTGCTGCATACTACACGGCTCGCCGTCTTCATGAGGATCCCATGTTCCAACTCCCCTCGACACTCCCTCCAACTTCGATCTGCAGCCCCCTCATCCTCCCCCTTGAATCAGAACTGCCGTGCAATTTTTCTTTTCCATCTCGTGTTTCTTGTCCCCCTCCCCCCGCTCCTCCCCACGTGGCACACCGGCATGCGGTTTTTGTTGTGTTATTGTTCTCGTCCTAATCATCATCCTCCCTCATAATCGTCCTCCTCCCTCCTCTTCTCCCGTCGTGTGACACGTGGCACACGGGCACACAATTGTCTTTTCATCTTCTTCTTGTCATCGCCATCCTATTCCCTCGTCTTCGTCCTTCCTCCTCCTAACTCCTTCCATCTCCCGCACACCGCCAGGTCATGTTTTTTCATTTTCTTGTCTTCCTTATCCACCTCCCTCGTCCTCCTCCTTCCTCCTTCTTCCCTCCTTTTCCATCATCCTCCTTTTCCCTCGTCCTCCTTTTGCCATTTGCCACATGGCAAACCAGCACACGGCTTTTTGTTGTCGTGCTCATCATCATCCTCCCTCCTACTCATCCTCCTCCTTCCTCCTCGTCTCCACTCATATGTTACAGACCCAACCGACAGGTGAAGCTCAGTCGGTACACCCATGGACTGTTGAAATGCAGACGTGAGCTCCAATCCAGACAGCTGTACATGAATGAAATCCTGAATTACATGATATCTCAAGTCCGTCGCGCTTTACGGAAAAAAAAGGAATACATATCGAATCTAGGCTGCCAAAAAAGAAAAGGAACACACCACGAACGCATTCGCCTCCCTCCCTCCGTCCCTCTGTCCCTCCCTCTTCCTCCTCCTCCTCTCTCTCTCTCGTTCTCAGTCCCCCTCCTTCATCCTGCTTCGTCCTCTGTGGCATGCAACTTTTGGTTTTCATCTTGTGATTCTTTCGTCCTCCCCCTCCTGCTCTCCGCTGTCTTCCCACTTTCCCGTTCCCATTCGTGAGCGTCGCTACGTGCTTCACGAATGCAAACTGGTTCGAAAGGGGCACGCCCTAACCTACATGTTTGGAAAGCGCCAAGCCCTGCCGGCCGACGCGAAGAAACCAAAGGCCTACGATGTCGGTTCGTGCGGCCGATCATCCAAAGGCCCGTCGAGAGCCCGAGGCCCAAGATCTACGATGGGGGAAAACCGAGGGCGCAGATGTGCGCAGAAGCAAGAGATCGAGAAACTCATTGGAACTGGAGATCTTAGCCAACCGACGCACCAAAATTGTGGACAAAGTGAGCCCGTCGGGGTGCAGGGTCCAAAAAAACGGTAACCGCGACCGACGGGTTTTAGAGGGTTGGGAGGATACATGCATTTCCAGCTTCTAAGCTCTTTTTTCCAGCAAATCAAGAGCAATTGCAGATCATGACCAGTTTAGTACCCAGTTGCCACGGTCCAGATTCTTCCACACTCAGACCACCACGGCATAACAGTCTGGGTCCCTGGAATTTGGGACAGTGCCCAGGATTTTAGCGGCCTGGTGGATTAGGCCTTTTCTGCCCTCAGCAATCCATCGGGTCTTCAGGGCCGCAGCTGCTTTCGCATATGCAACAACAGAACAAGCACTCCATCTCCTCTTCCTCTGATATGATTGCCACAACCAACTGTTGACCCGCCCCTGTCTTCGCTCTCACCTCCTTACCTTCAACCACTCTCTTCGCACTCCTCCTGTCCGTCATTCCTCGTTCTTTTCTTCATCCTCCTCGTCCTCCTCCTCTTTCCTCGTCCAGTAGATATTAGTCTTCTTCTCGTCCTTGCATCTTCCTCTTTCTCATTCTCCTCGTCCGCACCTTCTCCTTCCTCCCCCACACTCCCCCGCACAATCCTTATCCTCTCTTCCTCCTCCCCTTCTTCCTCCTCCTTCCAACCCTGCTGGCTCCCTTTATCCTGTCCTCCTCCTCGTCCTCTCAAGCCGGCCGACTTCCTTTATCCTGCCCTTCCTCCTCCTCCTCCTCCTCCTCGGCTTTCTCACTTCCCTTATCCTCTCATCTTCCTCCTACCTCCTCCTAACCCTGCTTCCCAAGACCAGCATTGAATGATAGTCAGCGCACACATAACAACATACAAACGAGTAATTGCCAGCCACAGAACTTCTTTGTTCATCAGTTCATACTTCCAGTTATTAACAAAGAAGTACCTTGTTATGAGACACCCCTTTCATTCTTATTTTATCCTCCTCTTTATGGTAATGCCTGCTCTTACATGTGGGTTTGGAAACTGGTTTGTCCCTATTTTCAATCGCCAAAGACTAGAGCAAATTATGCTCCCAGACTCCCAGTTACTAAGAGTTCTCTGACGAAGTTTGAACTGTTTACCTAAAACGATGGATGGTTTTTGCCCATCCAGATTACGATGACAAAACAATGGTGGTGTATGGTGTGGTACCGAAAGCCACAGGAAGCGAAGATTGGCTCAATGTTCGATGCTCACCTCTCCATGGCAGAGCACATCCAGATCCCGAGCACATGTGGAGGGGTTGCAGGAGACATATACTATTCGCTGTGCTCCACAATTCAATAAGAATTGCAACAGCTTCGGATGCATCCCTGGCCGGTTGGGGTCTGTACAGATCAACATATCAAACGCAGACAACGACAAAAGGAAGTCTCACATGAATGAAATCCACTCTTCAACAAATGGATTGAAATTTGAAAATGATAAGTTCAACCTTAACCAGACTAGGCTATCGTTCCATATGTCTCAGCATTTCTCTTTCTTTTGCAATCCGTTAGCAATCGAGCAAAGGGAGTTGCTCACCAATGCAACTGCTTCCCCAAGGGCCAAGATGCCTGGAATGAAAGAACAACCAAAAACGAAATGAGGTCCTGAAGACCTACAATGGTAACCAATAACGACTGTCAAGTTGTTAACTCAAATACAGGGAATGCCCCCCCCCCCCACCCCCCCACCCCACACACACACAACGATTCATCAGGAGATAAAACTAGGAACAAATGAGGATCACAGTGGCTGAACAACATGATCCTCTGCGTCAACAAGTAGAGACTTGGACTCGGAGCGACTGGTTATGGTGCACTGATTCGCCAGTCGATCACCCTCAACCTCTCACACACATGCAACAAGCATCCAGATGAGTGTTCGCTCTTGGAACCATTAGCCGAGACACAAGAATCACACGAGAGATTGATATGCAAAACATCTTTATTATACAAAAAAAGTGTTCATGTCTCCTACCGTGTCTGCCGCTCACACAGTCTCAGACTCGAACCAGGTATGTAACCGACTACCGCTTCCTCTCTCTTCTTTCTCTCCCTCTGCTCTTGTATCACTCAACCTCACAGTCTCTCTCTCTCCCGATCTCTCTTGCCTTGGACCACGCCCTGGATACAGCCACTCAGTTCAGACTCAGATCTTGGCGGCTATGGCCGCCCTGCTCCCCTATCACTACCCTAGCTATGGTTGTCGTTGACGCTCCCTTCTCCTTCGAGCATTGTCTTGCCCAAGTCGGTTGGTCACATAAGCAGCAGCAGCACTTCTGCAACTTCACGAATGAACAATTGGTGAGCCGCTGCACTGTAGCAGCTAAATATAGAAATTGTCGTGGTTTGGCCAGCTCCAAACCGGTACCAGTCAGTCGCGGCCTGTCTGCTGCAACCATTTTGTCGCTCCGGAAGCTTCCCGGACTTTCCTGGGACTTTCTGCAATTTTGTGGACTTGGGACTGGATCGGACGTTTCCGGACTTTGCTGTCGGGTACCCAACTAACTGTGCAGCGAGTCGACTTTCCGGATGTTTCCCGACTTAGACCTACGACTCCTCAATTGGCCTATCGCACCTACCCCTCGTGACGCTGGGACTCAGGACTTCGGAACCTTCTGGACTTTGGGGCCTGTATTGCCGAGCTCTCAGGTGTCTGCAACGTGAAATCCTTTCAGAATCATGCTTCCTATTCATATCCACAAGAGAAAAGAAGAGGATCCATCAAAGGTACCTGCATCGGGAACTGCATAAAGGGGCCAAGAGTTCAAATCCTCTTGAATGAAAAAACTGGTGAGTGGCGACCTTCAGAAGGTCATGTGCTGGATGAGAGTCAAGTGTGTGACAAATTGCCTTGTGTGGTGTTGTATACGGGTGTGAGGGAGTAAGACACTGCAGCCATGGAGGGTTAGGGTGGATATCACAACTGGTATTGTTCCACTTTTGTACACCGTGTGATGGCTGGTGTTGTTAAGAGATTTGGCAATTGTGGCTAAGGGTGCCAGTTCAATTCCGTGCATGCATGGATGGATCCAAGGCCAAAACCACAACCACCCTCCTGACCTCAGGACAAGGGAAAAAAAAGGGTGAAAAAAGGTAGCACCTTCAAAGGTTCAACAGATTGGCCATCAGCAAAGAGGCCGCCGATTGGACAGACCTGACAGCTGATGAAGAACAGCAACTGGCAGGCCAGATTTTCGCATTGTACAGTGTCCATTTAGCCTCCCAGAAACTCAGTCCCGGCTGTTGGAGCGTTGGGCGATGCACAATTCATCTCATTCGAAGGGGTGAAGGTTTGAAGGTCGAACCCCTTCAATCCAAATACAAGAGTGACAAAGACGATGCCCACAGGACACTATGACCTTGCCAACTGCAGGAAACCATAGTACCGATATCTAACTTATTCAGATTTGTTGGGAAGGCTCAATCCGACAGGCCCAGCCCGACTTCCTCCCTGGTATGCATAGGTGATCTGTGCTATCACATTCAAAGATCTAGCTCTTTTTTTTTGCCAGGGGAAGATCTCTCGTCCAGCCTTCGCTTGCAAGGAAACAAGGAGTACTATTGCCATTTGCAAAAACAAAAACAGAAGAAGAAGAAAGAAAGAATTTGGGACCAGTGTCCGTCAGGACATCCGTTGAAATTGGAGCAATACAGAGAGGATTAGCATGGCCCCTACACAAGGATGACACGCATAAATTGAGAAATGGTTAAAATGAAACGGTATTCACCAGTTCGAAGTAGCTGATGTAGGACCCAGGGTTCGATCCCTAGTTCCCCAACTTACCTGTGTACAATATCTGTGACAAYTTGAAGAATTGAACCTGCGACCTGTAGAACCGCCAGTGGTAAGTAGGTCTGTCGTAGGTCTTTAGGTAGCCAGGATTTGATCCATAGACCTGTAGAGTAGAAGTCCAGCTGCAGTCCTTCTAGAAGGTTGTCAAGTGGTCAAGTGGTGTGACTAAAGCAAGCCCATGTTGGAGACGAGGACAAGTGGCAAGGGCAAATAGTAGGACCCCAGTGCAACTGCACTGCGCCGTAGGGTTGTCACTATGCAGTCATGGGAAAGTCTAGAAAGTACCAGTCCGGTCCAGCAAGTACMACGGGGGGGGACTGTGTGCATCATGGGCCAGGGATACAAGGCAGACCAATGCAACACAGAAGTATAAATCAAGAGGCTGCGTCCAGCCATTCGATCATTCCTGCGGAAGCTCTGCGGAAGCGCTGCTCGGGCGTCTTGTGCAAGGGAGGTCTGCAGATGGCCTGAAGACGAAGTGGGCAGAAGTTAGTGATAGGCTAGTTAGCTGTTAGTGGCCATGCGCCATAGCCATAGACAGTTAGTGAGTGTGTATGTGTGTGTGCAGTGGTTGGCGTGCATGGTATCCAGGGTGATCCGGAGTCGAGTTGCGTGTGAACTCTGAGTCGAACGTGTAAGTGTGGGCGCCCAGCGCCATAGTCAACTGAAGTAAACTTGGATTTGAGTTGAGTTGCAAGYTACCATATCTCCGAGTTTGAGTTGGGTGCACAGCGCCAAGTTATTCTCATCTGTTGCATGCATGTTTGACTGTGAATTTGCAAGACTGATTTCATTGGTATCGGAGCTGGTACCCGCTGCCATGTACGTAGCCGCGTGAGGAAGAAGACCATAGCGCGGTGAAGAAGAAGGTCCGCCATAGCTGCTGCGACGAAGCAGGGTGTACCTGCATACATCAAGAC